AACGGCGATGAACAACATTGCCTATGGTGTGCTCAGCCGCCCGGCTCAAAGATAGCGGGTTTGGAAACCCAATGGAAAAACCGCGGATGTTTTCTAAGCGGGGAACACAGAACCAAGGGGTAGCTTCTCATCTTCCAGGACTATTAGACTGTGTCTCCCAAGTTCAGCTTAACGAGGGAACTGACGAGGCTAACTGTGGGTGACCGCATTTAACGTGCTCGATATGTCTTTGGAGACACCCAGCATTGAGGATCACAATTTTGCAAAAAGTGTTGGATTTGTGTGCATTGTTTTTGTCAACTAAAGGCTGTCCCCAAGGGGTCATTCTCAATAGAACTCACTAAATGTCTTCTGAGCCAAATTGTGTAGTCATTTCAATCGCATGTTTGTGGATTCCAAATGATCCACCTGAATTCCCCGCGGAAAGGTACAGACTAACCGCTTCACTACTCGCTTATTTGCTTACAATGTCACCAGGCTGTTGGCTTGCAACCATCTCTCCGCACGACTAAACTTTCTGCCAACCTTTATATCAGATAATGTATATGATTGACTATTTTATGAAAACGTGAGACCTAAGCGATTTCTGCCTTGTACTTGCAATTTACCGATGAGTATCCTGCTTCACCTGTTCGTTAAAGACCTGCTTAAACTCTGCCATACCAGTGAACCGCATTGCTCACGATTCACAAAGCTTGACCATTGTGGGACATAAAATTGGTTACTGCACAGTCTTCAGGCAATGTTCACTACAACCAACTGCTCACTAGAGCTGAACTCTGAAAGGGCTACGTGACTCCGACGACGCGGACCTGCGTGGTTTCTAACTCCTAGAGGTGTCTCGGATACCCCGTCCGCACCACGAGGACGTCGTCCAATTCCGAAGAAAGAAGAAGTGTCAGAGTATTTCCCATAAACAAAGTCACCAAGATGTGAGCCGAAGTTCTATACCGTTTTGCCCAATCAAGCTACACTGTAGGCTTTGGTGAGATGATTGCCGAACCTGACAAAGTTTTTATCGAGACCACCCAGCAATTCTCGTCTATATGCCAATGACATGCGGGGGTGTACTACGATTGCTGTGATGTGCTCTGATCCTGGAGGCTTCAGACGCCCGTTTGAAGTGCTCCCCAGACAGCTCAATGAGCTCCGGCAGAGTCCGAGGTTCCTGTTGTCCACAATCTGTGCTACACAAAATTTCCGCCACGAAAATCGAAGAGCCAATTCCAAAAACCTCATTTCAGAGTGTTCACACTTTTCTTTGTTAGTGGGAATGATAGCTCCCTAAGATCATATAAATTTCAATTGAAACATCAGGCCACTTACTCTCGTAAAGTCTACAGTAAGATATTTGGCTTGGACCCGATAAGTTCTTTCCAGGTCCGAAGCGACCGACTTCAGTTTCTCCTCCGCACGTCCCAGGATGAATATATTCAGTCCATCGCTGGCTAGTTCCTGGGCGAACGCTTTGCCGATCCCGTCCGCACCACCCGTAATGATTGCCCATTCCCCGAATTTCGGTAACAGATTCCGTTTTGAGAAAATGCGTTTGCCGATGGTAAAATAGAACAGTACTCGAAGAAATGGGTAGAAGACTTTGTAGATAATCCCAGTGGTGGCAACAACGCCGGCTACCTCATAAAATGTCATCATATTTTGAGGCTTTTCCTCAACGGATTGCCAATCATATGTGCGCGCTTGTTTGCCTCACAAGCAATAAGCTCGTTCCTGTGTATGTGAAACTACCTGCGAAATTCTCGCCTCCGCTCAGTCCAACTGGATCCCAACACAGAATACGCTTTATAGTTGGATATTGTGTATGGAAAATTTGATCCCTAAAGCCTCAAAGTGGCACCTACAAATATGTTCTGCAATAGTCCCAGTAATACTGCGAGAACGCTTCAAAATCACGCTCTCATGATCCTCGCTTGAACGGGTGTGCTCCTGACTCATCGAAATTGTTCTGGTGAATCTCTGCAAAAACAGTGAAGTACGACTCGAATTTCGCTCTTATTAGAGCCCATCAGCAGTGTAGATACTTGGCCGTTTTGGGAAAAATTTGAACTCGGGACAGCTGCATTTCGAGGCGAGCGTACTTCCAATAGTTTGCTAGCGCACCTGAACATATCTGAACAGGCGAAAATGTTCACGAATGAGCCATGCGAGTGATTTGCCTAACGCCTCGAAGGACGAGCTCTAACTCTCCTGGCTTTGTTTAGAAATCCACATGTATAGACATGTATAGGCATGCATAGACAACCCCCACAACCCTCCGATACCACACGTTGTACATCAAACATACAAAGTTGTAAAAGGCACCGTTAATTAGACCCTTCTTCTGAGTAAACACTGGTATCCAAACTGCAGTCCTTTGTGAAGGGTGTTAGAACCGGCTTATAGCTTATTTATCGGAATAACACTTTAGACGGATTCAAATTTGCACGAAAGGTTAAGTCTTCTGTCCTAGCTACATTCAAATTTACATTCACCTAGATTTTGTCCGTAGATATGCCACAGAGGAGTATCTCAGCAAACGAGCACACGCTTCTTGCTAAACCAAAATTTTCACTCAAGGCCACTGTATTTTACAAAGCACAGCTTAACTGTACGTGTCCCGGGGGACTTATGGTCATTGTCCGAAAATCCGAAGGGTATCATTCGGTCGACAGGCACCATAAATAATCACGACGGGTAGTTGTGATTAGCACCGTTCGTGATGACAATGTGTCTTGTTCTTTGAACGTTGAAAACGCCGTGAAGAACTCGTAGATTTACTTTCCATCAACATCAACATCCTCAATACCATGATCATTAACATCTTCATCTTCATGATCATCACCAACATCATTATCACCATCATCATCCATACATTAATAGCGAGTCACATAGAGTTAGCATGCCCAGTCAGTCTTGAACATCACAGGCAGTTGCAAGTGAACGGTTATGCATAATGCACTCCACATCAGTGAGGGAAGTAGACAAAGATTCGTCGGCCAACAACCGTTCGCAAAAGACCGCATGCGGAAAGCTTACAATGTGCTGAAAACGAGCGCGTTTCAAGTGATACTCCAAATAATAGAGAGGTTTAAAATGCTCATGGCGAGTCCCGTGCAGCCTGAGTGTTCCACCTCACAGAGCGAATGTCAACTATGTTACAAACGCTTTATCAGCCCATGAACTGTTTTGGCGTACTTTGGGGTCATCCCTCTGTGAACGGCGTGCGCTGGATTTACAAGTATATTTATTCAATAGGATCGCGAGTTCAAGTTCTCCTTTCTGTATAAACCTACCTCATTAAACTGTGATGTAAATAACACGATATTGCGACCGCCAGTTTTTTCGTAAGGGTATATTGTGTTTTTCACAGCGTTTAACATTTTGGGACAAGTTTAACTACTGTTCAGGAATAAATGTACCTAAGTAAACTGGGCGATGAGCAGTTCCGTTTGACGCAGGTAAGTTATCTAAGAGATTAAAGGCAACATATTCATTACTAAAGGTGGAAACAATAAGCCCAATATACAAAGCGGAAAGAATTCGGAGTATGCAAAACCTTCAAATACACCACCTGAAGAGGCATAGATCACAGTTAATGAACGTGTTACATAACTAACGGTGCGATATTTTCCGACACACCACGCAGACGAAGCAATAGATTTCATCTACTGACAAATGCAACAAATTTCAATAACTTTTTTGCCAGGTAAAGTACCTACCCAAAACATGGTTCGAAAAATTCTACCTTGTTAAGCTCTGGTGCATTCTATTTCGCGCCACTACTTATTATGGTTTCCGCGTTTCCGCACTGCAACAAGTTCTCATATGAGGAACTACTATAAACAGCAGCTGGTTAAAAACAGGAAAGATATGACGAATGACTCTGAAGTAAGACAGTCAAACGTCGCCACCGATGGGAATAGTTTGGCAATTGACTGGCCCGCCTAAATCCATACGGATGCGCGACCATGGTGTTTCTGCTTGTGGTCAGTGCTGTCGTGATTGTCGATTGGGTTACCACACACCGGAAACAGCTTCGAAATACATGCTCCATACAATGCCAGTAAATGTGGCTACGAACGACTTATCCCCAGATGTCCAATATCAAATCGATTTAAGGCTCGACTCGTTGTGATCGACGACTTGATCCTGTATTTGTTCCGTGTTTGGCTCGGTTCAGCTGACCTGATATGGAAGTTGTTCGGGCAGGTGTGCTTATGTTCGTGTTTCAAGCCTTCTACAAGTTCTACCAATACAATATACTTATTGTTTTCCCTGCAAGGGAACTGATCATCGCAATGAGTTGTAAATAATTTTTAAGTTGACATTTTGATTGGTGACAGTCCGTGAGAATGATGTCGCACACAGTTTTGCTACGTTGTTGGTTCGGTTCATGGGTACGATTAGCGTCCAATTAAAAAGCCTAAGCGTCTGACGGGAACGTCAGTCTAAACGTTATTTTCGGGCACTCTGAGCCGGGTGCTTCTAGGTGAAGTGATCAAGGCATTTTATTGACCATAATACATTTTCCTGCATTCGAATTTTCTCTGCCAGTGTATTTGGGGTGCAATTTTGTCTAGCTTCATGGAATTTAAGACCAGAACCAACGCATGTCTGTACAAGATTGTACAGGAACTCGTAAAGTTCAGATGTTGTCCAATTCACATTTCTCTCTATATATACAGAGCAAGACAACGTATTCCTGGCTATCAAAACTTTCACAATGGGAGTTTGTTGTCCAGCTGAACTCCACAGATGGCTGAAGTGTTCTAGTGGAATGTTAAGAAAGAGACCGGGTTTTCAGTCTGTGATGTGCAAAGTATTATCCACGTGTATTTCGTACAATTATACATTTTCATGTCGGCTTTTTCTGGATGCTTGAACTTGGCCATAGGAATAATGCCTCACACTATCACATAGATTACCCTAACGAAAAATGTCTTCGATCCTTAGGCGTTTGAAGCTCGCCATGAAATATTGTAACTGGGCCTTATATTACACTCCTACGATGTTTGGTGTTTTTCCGATTCGTCGGGCGAATTTCCTAATCGTAATTTGGGACTCTGCTTTATCCGATCGATCAGAAATGTTGAAAATAATTGTGTGGAGTGTAATGGAAGTCTTTGATCACTCACAGTGGACATTCGTACCAACTGTGTCAATTGGGCCCTCGCAAATGGAAGTGGAGTTCGCCGACTCTTGGAACTAGTCGAATCTGGTCCACCACTTTCCATTGATTTTAAACGTCCATCAGCTCGATAACTACGAGGCAATCCGGGGATCTCGCACCCACAGGTGTTCTTCGGACGATGCAGAAGCTTGATATGTGGATCGGGGACACGTTTCTCGAGAAATTCAGAGCAATTTTATCCTACACTAGAGATCCAACTAAGCCGCCTAGTTGAATCACGCTAGTTTGCAAATGAGAATATTTCTTGAAGCACATCCAATTTGTTTTCAAACCAAGCAAAATCTGAGGCTGCGACCAGAATCGCCGGTCGTTGCAGATGTCATTATTAATGTAACGATGATACTACTGGTGGGGGAGGCGTGTGAGTAGTATGTTTTCTTTTAAATTCGCTTGAAAAGGGAGACCTATTGCGGATTTGTGGAGTCGCTTTGCAGCATTTGCTTGGACTTGAGCAACACTAAATGAATATCCAGGAAAATTCAGGAAGACGCGTTCATGAGAAGATGTATATTCAATTTTTGTAATTAAGATGTATATGGGAGTTTTGATTTCTTGTCCAATAGTCAGTAACTGGTCAGTTGGCATTTTCTAATAAATAACTCCGCAGCAAAAACCTTCTTCCATTCATTGGTATGCTGTGTACTGACCCGTCAAGCTTCAAATATGTGTGATTAGCTCTAGGTGGGGACGAATACGCACAAATGGCGAAATTACTCAATCGATTCAGCCATCAGTGCTTAGTTGATTTTGTGTGGGATTACCTGGTGGCGACTTTTGTTGGAGAAAACAGCAGGTGAAACTAACGTGTGTGAAGCTGCGGCCAGTTCGTTTCCACTGTTTCGTGGTCAATATATATCTCAGATGCTGCAGTGTGGTTTCATTTACTTTGCGTCATAAACCTGAATGCCCACTGCACCATCCGATCACCCCTGCTCTGGAGGATGCCAAATGAAGATTCTTCTCCTGATCAGCAGTTAAAATTAGGTTTTATTAATCAGTATTTTGCCGTACAAAATTAAAAATGGAATCCTAAATTATCGTCATGTTGAATTCGCAGCTGCTTTCTACGTTTGAGTGTTTAAAGGAACTCTGTGACATTTTGTTGCTTGTGCATCACTCAGCGACAGTGAATTTACGGGCCTACCCGAAGGAACACCTTCTTAAATGGGACGAAGGTAATTTAGCGATCAAGTTGCCGGGTGACTGGGTGTTCTCCGACCCGAAAACCTGGCATCCAACAGGTATTTTGGAGAGATCGGTGCGTAATACTAGGCAGATTTTGCGAGCTTTATTTGGAGGTAGACCAGTAGGCAACGAGACACTGCTGAAAACGTTTACTGAGAGCAAAAACTTATGAACCGCCCGTTAGGAAGACTGGTTTCGGATCCCAATGGTTAAGCGGACTTCACATCGAACCACCTGTTGCTCCTGAGAGCAAATCTTTCAACGGCCAATCCTTGTACCGACTAAGGGAACCTAGCTTACGCCTGCTTTGCTTCCTGGCTGCTCTTCCCTGGGTTTTTGCTCCCGGTTAAGTTCTGGCCACGCTGTGGTTACTAATGTGCGGAATTTGTTGCCTGTCCATCTTTGCTTGCAGGTTTGTATCAACTTTCCCAATTTTTGAGTGTCAGGTCCGACGGATAGTGAGTCGATTGAGGATCGTACTGTGAAGCACTTGGACTGTGGAGAGGCGCACATTCCGCTGCGCCAATTCGGCACCAGAAATGGTCCTATTTTATGCTACCTTTGTGTCGCGTCTACCCGATAGATGCGCATTCTGATTTGATAAATGTCAATGTGTGTCGTCTTTATCTGGTTCACGGGCCAATTTCTTCGGTGGTTCTAACAGAGTGGACCCTATTGCCAGTACAGACTGAAGGGCCAGTTATAGGTACTTGGTAAGTACCTTTGATAACAATGCCAATAACCAAAAAAGCAGGTTTTATATCAAATTTCGAAACAAAGATTATCAGATTATTGTGGATGGTACAGGTTAGTCACCCAGACAAAAATACGAGATACTGTCTCACCAAGTGCAATGCAGTTTAAGGGTCAAGTCAAACTGCATGTGAATACATAAACAGACCTTGATCAATTTACGGCAGTAAACTGGGAAAAATTGAACCAAGAACACTTGAATTCTGGTGGCGAAGAAAGATAATAATTACTGATGTTCTGTTGATGTTATGCGACGAACAGATGTTTGATTATAGAGAACTGCGGAGCCTTTCTTCCGCAGTTCGATCAGGTGATTCAAACTGGATCAATCTGGACCGGCCGAAAGAGCTCCTTCAACACTCAATCTTCAACAGAGGACCAAACCTTCAGGTAACTCACAAAAGACTAGGAAAAAGTGCTCCCCCACAAAAAGTGGTCTGCACAGTGGAGGAAACTTGTAGTACTGATGCTCGACAAGGGCGAAAATAATATCACACTACCCACTTCCAATTGGAGTGAAGAAAGTATTATTCGTGCCGTTGTTCAGACGCTTAACTGGTGTAAAAATTCCTGCACACACCTCGTATCCCGGTCCGTCTTGGGCTAATAGTTTTCGTGACGAGAACACCGGTAGTAAATGCTGTTGGGGTTGAGATTGTGATTTTTCAAGACGTATCACCTTCAAAGTGAATCCAAAGGGACCACAGTGAAGTGATTCTTATTAGTGAGAAGGGTTATTCCACTTGTATTTTACTACCGCGGATATTTTTAATCAACTGACACCCAGTTCGTTTTTTAATCCACATGCCGATTTGAGTTGTTATGTCTACAATTTCAAGCTAGGAGCAACGACATTACCATGCAAAATCTTGTTCGGATGCAACGTCGCTTATTAACCTGGAGCTGCGGATGGTGGTTTCCAAATGTGTGCAAGAAAACTAGGATGCTCTGTGTCTTTTTATTGCCAACGGCCATATTTCCGGGGAGAGCCCAAATCTGCTTGCCTGTGGTAGACTTTTATGGGATCTATATCGCTGCAGAATGTCTCATTGTGTTGGAAACCAGTCAGCTATAGCTGATCAAATTCGAGGTGCGCTGACAACCTGTTATCCGCTCTACCTAATCATAAGCAACGTTCATATAGTCCTCGTATTAACAAATTGGATTGTCCAAACACATCCGTTGATATGTAATTATACGCTCACTTGACAGGGTGCTGTGCTGTTGCATGAAGCGTCTCTATTCGGCAAGTCCGTTGAGCAACAAATCATTGAGAAAGATTCCCCACCTGTTCCACAGTATTTGATAATGTCTCAGGTTCCATATCCCTAGACAAAACCAGTAAATTGGACGCCAGCATCACCACAAAGCAAGAATTCTTCACAAATGGTGTTGTGTGGAATCTTCAAAGGATAGAGTCGCACCCAAACGTCAGCTGATCTAGTTGATATGCGAGTTACTATTTTTGTTAGGGCTAGAATCAGGTGATGAGGCATGCATGTGATTGCGGTTGAATGGATCTGTACTGTCGTCGAATGACGTAGCCGCTACGTGTATGAGAAGTGAGACCGATTGGACTGTCACACCTAACCTAAAAGATAAGAGGGTAGATCGTACCATGAATCAGCACAAGCGCACTAGAGAAACTCTGTTGGGTGAGCCTGGCGAAGTGGACTGAATGTACATTTACGTGTGTATCGGGCAGTGGGCGGGCAATATGTGGGCTGAATGGGTGTATACATTACACGTCCAATTTTGACATCCCAATGACAGTCAGAAAGAGTGGACGGTCAATGCACACGAGACATAGTGCTGTAACATCCAGCAGCCATCGCTGTTGGAGTGACCCCACCATTTGAGGATGAAAAGATGAAACCGTCTTCAAACATACTGCTAAGGACCTGGTCTATTGAGGGGAGCTGTTTCGTGTTCTCCAGAGCAGTGTTCACCATTCGCCGGGTCTTCGCTTCGGGCTTTATTGTGTAGCAGTTTACATCACCGATAAGTTTTCTTTCAATATCACAAATCCTACATTTCACGTACAAACAATTATATGTAAACAAATATATGTAAACAAACAAACAAATATATGCATTGCGATTATTTGTATGCCTACTCTCCACACAACCGTGTATGGTATTCGCACAAGAGATGTCTGTGAGCTCGAGTCATCTGCATTCTAGGTCCATGGTGATCCTGGAGACAACTGGATACTGAAGAATAGGAGTCCAGCAAATCAATAGTCACATTTTCACTCAGTGTCGGGTGTTTTCGTCGGTTTAGTATCACTTGGGAATTGTTCAACGTCGAATACTCAGTGACATTTTGCAACCTCACGCATCTCTACGTATGGAGTAAAATCTTCGGAAAGCTCAACTCCGGTTTACATTATATATGATGTGACAAATCACTTTTCAGAACCACAACCGTCCTGCTTCAAAGACACCTACAATTGTTATTCAATGAGACCCGACGGCATGCCTCGACAGTGGTTGTGGAAGGAAGGGATCAGACTAAGGTGACGTTGAGACTTCCGGCGAAGTTCCTACAACGATGTCTGGATTGAGCAGCTGAAATCAGGAGAACATTCCAAAAGCCCGGGGAAGGGGCGGACGCCAAACTTTAAATAATTGCCGGTTGGGTGTGATGTTATTATAGGTACAAGAGTGTACGGGCCGGATACTTCCAGGGTGTGTCTGTTCGTTTAGCATGTAAGAACATGCATCCGACGCGCTGTCAACCATCTGGAAGGCCGCTTTATAACAATGAGGAAAAATTACCCGACACCCGAAACGTGGCCACCATACACTCCTTCATCGTTCGGTTGTTGCATTCGGTTAGGCCATTTGTAGGGTACCATCCGAAGCCGTCCGATGACCATCTTCTGCAAGCAAATCCTAAACTCATAGCTCTCAATGCAAGGACCCTGTCGTATCCCCTTCCATCAGTTGGCACTGCTTGCAGGACCCACATAATCCGGACGCCAAACTTTAAATAATTGCCGGTTGGGTGTGATGTTATTATAGGTACAAGAGTGTACGGGCCGGATACTTCCAGGGTGTGTCTGTTCGTTTAGCATGTAAGAACATGCATCCGACGCGCTGT